GACCGACTGCCAGTGACTTCCTGATTACCTACGCAACGTGACAAATAGGCCTACGTTTTGGACATCACGCAGCGGATCATTGCTGGTGAACACTAATGAGAGTGGAACTATTGCCGAAAGTCTCCGATCCATGGTAAGGATTCACAAGATTGATTGCGCCAGGGCAGGAGGACAAATATGAACCCGAAAGTCAAAAAATGTTACAAATCTCTGCTAAACGGCCACGTACGAAGCTAACGGAAATGTCAGAAAAATTCGCTGAGATCGTGTTAGGTTCTACCAGTGAACTTTGGAGGACGTAAAATCACTAGAAATACATTCGAAGTTCCCCTGAGCACTATCGCCCTAATCTGGTGCTAGTGTGTTTCTAGAAGCGAAAGCTAAATCACTATGCACGCGGATGGCGGCACCAAACGTAGAAAACTTGGTTGACACAGTTGGCGAACAAGACGACTAATCGTATTGAGATATCTATAGAGAGGCGTGGGCCAACACAACAGACAAATCCGATACAGACGCAGTCTAAATTCATCACTAGACAACAGCTAGGCAAACACGACAACGTGGTATTCGTATCAATTTTGGTGAGCAATGCAAGCGCATAAAAATATACTGGGGCATTTCTATTCACGTGTTTGTTCTCCATCGCAGAACATTTTAGACGGACAACAATAGGACTTGTCCGTTGAAAGGAAGAGTTTGATAGGCGAGCAGGCAGGTTATTTGCACAACCGTAACGGAGGGATAGCAATTTACAGATTGAAGGAAGGGTCACAAATATGCGGAATTAATGGAAACGAATGGAAGCGAAGAGCGCAGAGAATGAAGTTATCAGTGCGAAATGGGTGAGTGCAACATAGGAGTTGTATGATAACCAACAAAATATAACGCGCTGTAACTGTTTCATTGTGAGCGGAAACCAGATACTGACACTTCGCATTTATTTGAGATACCAATCGATGTACTTGTACAGCCTTGATTGTGCTGCGAGTACCACAATAAAGGCGATATTTGACTCGCCGGCTTAATTATCAGCCCGTTCTTTCTCAATTACCGCGTGGAAGGCAGGAACGCTGTATTCTCATTATTCTGCATCTATTGCGGTGAGATGCCTAAATTGGTTCATTAGCGGTCGTCTGTAATCCATCGTATGGTCGATTGCATCCGCACACACACATTTGCTTGGGATGCCGTCAACGAGAGTGATATAAAAGGTGATGGATTTTGGCGGCCTATGTATTCGGGGGGCAACTTCACTAAAATGATTAACCCGGTTTTCGGGCTCGTAATTTTAAGCATGGGAAGCACTTCGCTTGCCCAAAATCGCCGTGAGTTTGATCTAAGATTTTTCTATCGTGGATCGTTTACAATGCATCTTTTCCCGTTAAATAAAATACGGCACCCATGCTGACTTCTCCAATATGCATTTTCACCATCCTCTCGGCAGGTTTCATTTTCGAGCACTTTTATTTCAATTTTCGATGGTTGTAATACATGTTTCCGCCCGTCAAATTTCATTTAACACTTTCTTTTGTATTTCAGTTACACAACTCAGTTCCGTTTTTGCAGAGTACACTCCTGTCTGTAAGTATACAAATGTGATGCATGCATGTCTAGGCTTTTTTCAGGTGGAATACTTTAATTAGCTACAACGCTTTATTTCCCATCCCGGTACTTTTGCTGATCACCAAACACCAGCTGCGGACCACACTGCCGAAGTCACCCAGTTGCTGATGGCGGCTGTGGCATCTTAGCCAGAAAAACAGCGTCTTTTAAATTAAACTGTACTCAGTGGTAGCAGAGCTCACATTTAGTTAAAAGAGACGGTGTGCATGATTCGCTTGTAATAACCGTATTATTTCCGGTTCAAACGGGTCAGAATCTTCAGGCTACGAATTTACTTTGGCCAGGAGAAATCAAGAGGTGATGAAGTGTAATTTACAATGTAGGACACCAAACTCATATCGTTATTGGATAGATTTTATTCTCCAGAGGATTTGGGTGAATGCGGTTGAGGGCAGTCTGAAAATTGATTCTCAATTTCGAAACGAATTTTTTCGCACTAATTGCTTTGGAGAAACTCACATCCCTACTTATACTATTCATCACAAGCAGTGTCGACGCCCAGGGCGGAATCCCCTGTTCAGCGGCTGGGAAATTATACCAATATGGAGAAGGAATATGATCGCCGTATCTCAGGCTGCGGGCAAGAGGACACTCGGATTCCACACATACGCGCGAGTACCAGTACCGGTCCAACAAATAATGGGCGATACGAAAATCGTTACAGGTGTTCCGCTTGCGGGAAATCATTCCCATTCTTATCCCACTTGCAACGTCATTTGGCGGTGCATTCAGATGAACGTTTCTTCTGTTGCCACATTTGCAAAATATCATACAAGTTCAGCCGCTCACTCAGTCAACATCAGGTGAAGTTTCATTCAAAACGAGCTAAAGTTCGTGTTGGAAACTCAATGGGGAAACGCCGAAAATCTCTTGAAAGCGCCAAACTGTGTCAGGAATGTGGCAAATTTTTAAAAAATAGCAACACTCTATTGGCACATCGGAAGACAGTACACGGCAATGTCGCACGTTACACATGCGAGCTCTGTGGTCACACTTTCGGTCAGAAGGGAAATTACTTCAAGCATCTGAGGAAGATGCATGGAAAGCAGATAACCGAAAAATGTAAACAATGCAGACAATGCTTCCTCACTTCATCTGAACTGGAGGCCCATTTGTGGGCATGTCATTATGCAAATAACTAATAACTTGTATCAGTCTGTTTTACAGATGAAGTTAAAAAATTAGTTTGAGTGGAATTGTTTCTTCGGCCTTCAACTGGGCAGATTATCACCTAGCCGTATCATATGTGGGTGGCATTCCGCGCCTGATATATAGCTGCCAGATATTGGACGTATGGTGCTACGTCGGGGTTTCTCGGCATCCTAATTTTGTGCACATATTCTGATATATCGTTCAAACTTAAAGGCGGGACCTCGGAATTGAGCTATCTCATAGCTGATTAAATGTTTCCTAGAGAAAAAGTTAAATGAAGTAATTCGGAAATTCCCGCAGTGCTCGCCTAAAATGTTGATAATCACGTGGAAAATATGAAGCAGCACTTGGAATACTATAAAATATTTCGTGCAATGTGTTGTACGAATGTTTGCGTCCTGAACGACGGGAGATGCAGGTCACTCAGCTGGAATGAAACAAAATATTCAAAAATTGACTACAACCTGTGGGGAATTATTGAGAACTGCAGCATCCGAAAGCACCGTATGCAGGCACTGGAAGCCGTTCCATACGTTTCAATAGCAGACACGCGTTGCTAGCTATCAGTTAGAGCACTCTTGAGTGTCTTTTCATGAGATTCGCTTAGAGAGGTGGACTGTGTTCTTCCAGTCACTCTTCGCGCGGCTCGCTGAGCAACTGCTGTGGGATGCAGGGATTTAGCTATGAATGTTCAAACAAGTGAGGAATGTATCAGGGTTTGGACTTTCAGTTTCAAAACGTAAAACAGATGCTCAGGTGTGAATTAAAAGTCGTGCACAGCTCTGAGGTCGCGATATCCCGAATCAAACTGGTGGCTTATGATGTATGGATGTCGGTTGGTCCCACTGCTGCACTCTATTTGGCATTTGCCGCTCACGGTTGCGCATATGCAGCAAACCAATTGGTCTAGGTCGAAATCATTACACAAAAGTCTAAAAAACAAACCCATAGAAAGTAATATCAGACCAAATCTTACGTAAAGCATAAATTGGAAGCTGAATGGGGCAGGTGGAAAGCGTGAACAGCTAAATAAAAGGGTTGGCCCAGAAGCTGAAGTTGCCGCTGATTTAGTTCTAGCGGGCAGTATTCCATATCGAAGAGGGTTTGCCTGCAAGAAATAATTAACATGGTGTATGTCAAATACGATTTGGTGGAACGTACTGGGAGCATCGATGAACACATTCTTCGTAGTGTTGACACAATGAATGCGCCGCCGAAAGAAACAAACGCATTTACCTATCCAAGGTGCAGCGTATTCAGGTTAATAGGAAACACGCAACTATAATACGAAGTGCACATGAGCGGAAAAGTGCGGCTGTGCCCCAGCAGACGAACCGCACTCTAGAGGGACTCGCGAAAGTATAATACAACCAACTGCATCTCGGTTTTGAAATATTCCACCTCAAACCTGAGAATCCAAACGAGTCTGAAGTTTCCATCGGACGCGCTTGAGCTTTCGCGTGGATTTGACCACTGTGAACGCAAGTGGTGAGAAGGAATAGCACATTCTCTTAAAACGTGAAATATTATCGCCTCAAGCTTTCGCCGAACTATGCATCAACGTAAGCCGCTGCTTCGTCAATCGTTAAAGGGCGCAGTCTTCTCACTTATTCAAAATAAACCCTTGTTCGGACTCAACTGACTCAACATGACCGGCTCATTCGGATACATGCCAAAAGCATTTCAATACCTGGCGGCACGTGAATTTGAATTTGAATCGCGTTTCAGGACTGCGTCAGTAAATGCAGACATGAATACTGGCATTGGATGTGTAATCATGCGCACACTCCATCAGCAGACGCACACGTGAAAGAACTCATTCAGGAGAATAAAACAAGTTCATTTCTATTACTTGTGGGTGCATCAATTAACTGGGCATTTTCGGAAGCCCCGCTATATTCGTCAAATTTTTTCTGGATCTGGGACACTATTCCGAGAGTGAACACCCTGCAAAATGGAAACAATTTCTGTCAGCGATACGTTTGTTGCCAACGTCTCACTTATTCAAGCGTTCCTTAAGCTGGCTCCTAACAAAAGACTAATTTGTCCAGTTTTGCGCCTCTCCAGTTTCTTTGATCCCATTTCAGGCACGGATTACTTTGGGGAGTTTCCCGCTGACACAATGTATGTAGTGACGGTCCTCAAACCTCACTTGCGGAGATAGAAGTTTAGGAAATCGGCAACCAAAGACACATGCGCCTGCTGTAAACAGGTGAAGCTTCTTGTAACAAAAATGAGCCGCGCTCCAATGAGAATCTGTTTGACCTAGTAATTAAAGCAACAAAAAGTTACTTCTGAAGTAGATATAGTGCTTCGCTTCGGGATCAGTCTATTCACTTTACTTCAATAAAAATCCTGTAGTAGCTTTCTTGTGAAGGGTGAAAATTCATGTTACGTGCGGATCCATTGTTTGTGGACGTACTTTGCCAGAAGCCATATTGTGTTAGCGAACGAATCTCGTTACTCCACGAGGGGACAATGTTATCCTCCAAAGCTTTGGCAACTATTTTGGTCAAAGCAATTCTCCCAATTCGTCAAGATAACACCCTGTGAATCGGTTAGGCTTGGGATTATTTGCTCGGATGGATAAGTATCTGAGTTGATGTAGTCCTTCCAATTCCAGCATCCGCAGGCAGTCATGTTACATGTGAAATTTAAAGGGGCAAAACCCATTTATAGGTGAGACTGTATTGAAGGTCGAAGGATTTCCGTGCATGCTGCTTGCCATCACATTCTTTTGGCCTCCGAAAATGAACTCAGGGGAATGGAGCTGAGTGTCCAACGCGCGATACAGGCGCATTTTGGGTAGACACGTTCCGCACGTTCACCAGTCGGCGATCATACAGTTCGAGCACACAGATCTTCTCACAACCAGCAACATTGTTCCAAATTCTGCTCGTACTCCCTGGCCCTTTATTATTTCGATAAAGCAGGCAGTGGACGGATGGCTGACCTTTTCGAAACAATTTCGTCAACGGATACGGCAGATGGCCCGTTATTGTGGCCAGCGTAAGAGGCAAAACAAAGCGTCGTTTCCTCCAGAAGGCCCTTTCGAAACACTACAATTCTGAGTCGCTCGCGCTGATTGATATCCAATCAGGAGTTCACGAGCTCAAAACCTACTTCAATTTCTACGGTAATGATGGATTTGCTGTAGAAAGTTTGCATAAAATATTTTGCCAACGACCGAATAGCGAGAGAGAACCGGCGTCGAGCACGACGTTTGGCAAGTTGGGCCGTACTATCCATATGGATATTGGCCCAACGCAATAAACCGTATTGTGCGTAATCTTGACAGCTTCCCATGGGGAGACGGTGGATTACCTAAAAATCAACAAACGCGGCCAATCAAGTTGAGAGGGAGTGCATAAACTTCTGGCTGTTATCACCTCAGAGATCACCTGTTTTCTCTGGCTACTCCCAGCATGTATGTATTATGTGGTTCGACAAGTTCGCCTTTTTGGTTGCAGCTAAGGCTTATATTGTTTGCGTTAGCTTTGGAGATCACGGCTACTAATTATTCTAGTCCGTCGCAAAAGAGCTTGAGTCGGAAAGCAAGGGCACAAATCTGCAAAGCATTTTTCCACTATGCCGATTGGGTCTTCTTTAACGCGAATCCACGGGTGAGTCTTCGTCATCGAACCAACGTGTATGTTTGCCCGCCAATGTTGCGCAGCAACATTAGCTGACATATCATTCCGGATGATGATTATCGCCTCGCAAAAGAGCTTGAGTCGCAAAGCAAGGGCACAAATCTGCAAAGCATTTTTCCACTATGCCGATTGGGTCTTCTTTAACGCGAATCCACGGGTGAGTCTTCGTCATTGAACCAACGTGTATGTTTGCCCGCCAATGTTGCGCAGCAACATTAGCTGACATATCATTCCGGATGATGATTATCGCCATTTAAACACGAGTGAAATGGTTGGTTCTTTCGATCACTGAGCTATAAATGTGGACATATGATTTGTTCCTGTCCATTTTGCAGACTTCACTAACAGTAAGGCCGTCAACTGTGATCGCAGAATAATACTCGCGAACAAGCAATAAGACCGCACTCCTGCAAATGCAGAATAGGCAGTTGAAATATTAGGAGAAGACTGTAGAAATGTGAACAAACTACCACAAAGCGAGGATTCGGTGCCACTGGTTGTAGGTCAGTGATTTAGCTCGAAGGGCTCGACGGGTCAACATCCCTCATGGCAAACCAGCACAATCAAAATACGAGGTTGTTATTTCTGGCTCTCAGATCCACCTTGACGCATGCCTTCACTGGACGTTAACAGATGTGTGGAGTTGATAGCAGCCGAACGAATGTGCGAACGCCATGATCGCCATTGGGAGGAGAAGAATATCGAGTCAAAACGAAACATCGAAAATTCGAGAGTCAACGTGTGGACGTGGTATGTGACGAACAAAATCATTCACTGCTACGCGGAATTGAAACCTCTTGATATGTAAGCTGATTTTCGACTTTTCCGTGGAATAAATCATCTAGATTGCTAGGTGGCACTTTGCTACACGATGGATAGCATGATAATCAGATAATGCTTGCGTCTCCCCAGGCGAACAATCTATCGTTTTAACACCAAATGAGGCGACAATAACATGTCATCGGGGAACATTTCGATTGAGATTTTATCCCCCTGTTGTAGGTCTGGGTCACTGAAGGCGTCGCGCATCCCATCCGAAGGTTTTCTCAACCAGACGAATATCGATCGCGCAATATCCTGCGTAGTGGCTTCAAAACTAAACGGTCAGGCACGAACAATTGATTGGCAGCATGATTAAGCCGCAAACGGAAAATTTGGTTGGCTTGAAAGGACCTTTGTCTTTTCATCCGCACAAAATGCCAAGTGCCACAGATAACCTGGACGCGCGAGCGCTGCGTTAAACTGACGGCCTTAGAATAAGTGTTTGATGGAGGAACCTAAGTCAAGTTGATGGTACGAGTGATCACAAATGAAACGCGATTGAATCACACACCGGGCGATAGCGCCTGTTGAGGTAGCAGAAGCGTTTTTAGCTGAGTATTTTCTCGGAATTTTGATGGCTTTTGGGAGCATATTTCATGTTTGTCATACCACTGCCCGCGTCTTTTTAGGCTGTTACCTGGAGGACCAAAAGAGATATGTGGAAACTGGATAGTACGTTAGGAAATACGCACCGAACCACCCAATGTTGCCAACCGATTATACCTGACGAAAATAAGAGTAAGTTATTTGTTCAGAGCCAATATTATCACGGGCTGGGCAACACTATCCAGAGGGCCACTGTGTACCGGTTGTGGCTGATGGGGCTCAGGTAAAAAAGACAACAAAAAATTTTTATGCGTCCATCGTCGAGTTCGATTCAATGAAAGTGATGACGAGATTGTGATCAGTTATTAGGCTGTGGTGATTTAAGTAACAGTGTGGACGCAAATCCCGAGGATAACCTGGTACACTTCGGTTCCACGCGCGCCTCGTCGATAAGGAAAACCCTTCCCGTCACCTAGAGAATACGAGCCTTTTGTTCCTTTTCTACACGGGAAGAAACGTTTTGTGCGCTTCTCTTTTTATAGTTTAAATGAAGGAGCAGGAAAAGAAAATTCCATCATTTAGAGGAGCAAAGCATTCATAAGAGGCCTTACGGCTTGATGAGCACCAACGGCCAGCTGAGAGTTCTGTATTTCTAGGTAATTCCAATTACGATGACCGCTAGATACCCTGTTGATCAACCATCACGTAGAGGCGGCTCAACAGCTGCGTTCAGCAACGCGCCCGATGATTGACAGATGCCCCTGATTTGAACCGCTAGATCCCTGTTGATCAACCATCACGTAGAGGCGGCTCAACAGCTGCGTTCAGCAACGCGCCCGATGATTGACAGATGCCCCTGAATTTGAGCTGCTTATAATGAAAATATCATTTGCTAAAGAATATTATTGTTTTGGGCTCTGGATAGTGGAACACTAGTTGAAAGAATCGTTCATTCGTAGCTTCTTCCAGCGCCTAGTTGCGGTGCTAGCTTAATGGAGCATGAGGGGTGAGATGAGGCCGGGCACCCAGATCGGTTGGAGAGAAAGGGTTGGACAGGACAGGTAAAATGGGGTAAATGCTGTTCGTCATATTCCCATCTGCGTACCGAAGACGACGCTTTTCTGATTGGAGAACTATCTTTGTTTTTGGTGGCGGAAATCCAAATTTATTTTCAATAGATCCAGCAAACCTATCGCCCTGTATCTATGCATACGGGTCGTTGTGGCACAGGAAAATACGTTTGCCGTTGCTTGCAAGATTTACTGTTTGCAAATAACGGTTCAGTGACTTTATGGCCACATTCATTTCTATCAGCTACGTATGTAATAGGTGGTCCAGTTCAGGACACAATTTGGAGAATGGACGCCCTGCTCAAAAGATTAACCCGGCCATGAACGGCTTCCAATCTCACATGGACACTTCCTCACAAAGTGACAGAATTTATTTGATTGAGCCAGCTGCGCTCCAAGCATTTCGCCGTGAGCTGTAAGGTTCCTCCAGCCGGCGCTAGCATTTTGCTGTATCTTGGCGAGCATGCTACACGATAACATGGGAACGCTAGTATTGGTGGGTATTGTTTTTCTCCGTACGCAAGCTTGATGGGTTGTATATTTGTCAATTAATAACTAGTTTGATTACTAGACAAATGAACAGCGGTCCACCTACACAGCCTTGAACCTACCTTGGTGATGTTACCTATGCGCTAGACAGAATACCAAGAAGTTGGCTTCCTAGACAAGCCGATGCAACCGAATTATCAAGCAGTTCGGGGCATCTGTCCATCTATCTACACAGCAACTGATTTGCTTGGTCAAGCTCTTGCCATAGTAATAGGATTTTACGTGAAAATTTGTCGTCATTTTAGCGCGTGATATATCGAGTGCAAAGATTGCACTTTTGGGAACTGACCTCAACAGCAACATTAAATTTCCTGCATGGTTGGCAGGATGTTGATTACTCCTAGACCTGTAATTTGGAAGGCAATCTGCTGTTAATCGCAGCATTGTGCGTCACTGGAATTTCCTCCTTCGAGAAATCATAGTTGTCTACCCCGGCTGCAGTGTGTTTGCATCCATCCTTCATCTTGATCCGTCTCCTGCATGGGGAGATAAAATTGGGTATCACCATGATCAGATGAACAAGCTATTTCCTGGTGAACTTTGAAAAGGCGATACAATCAGGGTGGGTAAGATATAGTTGGCCCTAATGCAGCCTTGATTTTTAGTTGGTTTTCCAGCATATATGTGTTAATATTTGGAACACCGTTCATGGGTATAAAATCGAACTCTTGCGCACACCATCACTTGGTCGGTCTCATTTACTTGAAGACAAAGTGTATTTGGACTAATCATTTGAGCCACTTATTTGCTTATTCAATGTGCTGATTTCGGTGATTCATCAACCTATTTATGCGAATCATTCGGAAATTAAAACAACTGGAAACATTCCTGAACCATTTCGGCTGACGAAAACGCCCAAAATTTTGTGCCCCATAATGCCACTAATGGTGTGCAATACGGCGGTCTTAGTTTGTTGACTATCAAAATTTAATTTGATTGTGTGCACGCGATAAACGAGAGGTGCAAATCCACCGCTACCGTTAGACGCCAGCTCCCTTGATGCCACAAACCTCAAAATCATCTAACAACACTCAGTTATTTTCGGTATAATGAAGAGGATTTTGAGTTTCAAAAATGGTCTTGCAAACGCCGGTTGCTTTTGCCGGAATCAAGTTGATTTTCATCCCTCAGACAAGCACGTAATGTCTGCTAGGCTAGTGACAGTCTCAGTGCATGCTTCATGTGATCTGAACACTTTGACTTCTATTTTCATGGAAAATGAAACCATGAGCTGTGAGTTTGTACGTTGGATTAAATGCATTCTGCTCCAGTCCTCTCGCTTCCCTAATTATCAGCACGTTGTCACATGCAGGCGTAATTAGTTCGAAAGCTAATTAACTAATTAATTACTTTTCAAGAGTAGCATTCGACATTCCCATGATCGAATAACTGAGCCACCTAATGTGATCTGCATTTCTACACAAGCCAGTTACAGTTTGCATGAAGGTGAAAATTTCAGGGTGTGAAATTATAGCATTCTGGTCTAACTTGGCTCAAGCTGAGCATTTAGATTATCAAGTGGGCGCAAACGGGAAGGGGACTGTCAAGATTCATTTGCGTGTGTGGTTTTGACGAAGGCATTATCTGTGGGTTCGTTGACGGCAGAGGTCATCATTGCAGTACCTGTTTAGGGGGGATTTTTCAAGAGAGATAGTTGATCACTGGAGTGCAATTATGCAACCGC